GTTATTGAAGATTTTAACTCATTCATAGTCATGAATTGATACGGGTGAAGGATAGGGAAACGCATTTAAAAAGAATGCCAACACTTTTCACTAAGGCGGGCTTAGTGAACTTTTTTCATTGGATTTTACAAGGTTAACGGAAAGTAAAATGATGCACACATCACTACTATGTGCATGAAAAGAAAAGATTTCATTCATAATCAGATTGCTCACTGCTTGGTTCGTTGGATAAGTTCAGTATGGACGATCTTTAGTCATACATCTGTCTGCTTCCCAGGTTTTTGGGGCTAATCTCAGCTTCACATCACTTTCACAGTCACGATTGTGACATCACTGGTTTGGTCCAATCATCCTCCGCTCCGCCTACTTTAAATCTCATCTGTTCTTTTCCCCTGCAGTCGTCTTCATGCAACCCACCTCCTCCCCATCTCAGCCTCTCCCATATTACTCAAGCTCCATCCAAACCTCCACCTCCACCCAGACTCCCGGGGTGGTCCTGCCCTAATCCCTGTCACTGCTGGGATTACGTTCTGCTGCGATGGGCCCTCAGACTATGATGGCAAAATATCTTAATTAAATTCTGTGCATTGATGAATCATGCTCAGTTCTTTCTAATGATCTCTGATGGGTGGATGATTGAACATCCACCCATCCATCTTATTGTCCAGCTCATGTTGGCTTTCACGGGGCAGGAGGCAGGGCACATTCTGAGCGAGTTGTCGGTCCAATCTCAAGGTCAAGACGCACAATAGTTTTTATTTTGTTTTTTCTCAATGCTTTCTCCCCCAACCATATAAAAATGGACAAAGTAAATATTTTTACAGTCCTTTTTTGCAGGCTCGTGTGTTTCATTTGGTTTTTGGAAGCAGTAAGCAGAGAAAAGCTTTCAGGTAGGAAAAATCACGAGAACACAGTAAATGCAGACAAAGGTCAGATGTTGATGCAGAACAGTTCTAGAGTCAAACAGCTCTGCAGGAGAACTGTCCGGAACATTTACCCGCACAACAAGGTTGTAGTTTTGAAAGCCAGCCCACGTGTAATAAAACTGGATCCAGCTCTGATGTTTAAATATGTCCGACTTG